TCAGTGCAGCAGTAAGTTAGCTTTTTACCAAGTCATCGGCTAGTGTAATGTGTCAAGTCGTGTGTTCCAAGGGCTTTTGTATCCGGGGCGTACGTGGGTGCTATTAGACCAAGTGGGCTGTAAGGCAAAGGAGATACTTCGTAGGCGGATGGAAAACCACCTAGTAAGTGTCGAAGCTGGATGAACGGTATGCTTATGTCACATCTCGTGGCTAGCTTGGCGGGTCACAGCTGCCCGTAGAGGACCGAGCGCAAGGCGACTAGACGGATGGTGTAAAAATACCCGTGAGAGATGGTGGATCTAACGATACTGAAGATGAAATGTGAAGGTAAAGAGAAGAGGAAACGACAAGCACTATATAGGCTACACTAGACGACAACTTACCAGTTAGCTCTGTGAGTACTACGCGGTAACTGCTCTTTCTGGCGTGCTATACTTCCGAACCTTTTAGGTGAAATTCTCGTGAAGAAGTGTTAGAATAAACACTTTTGACGAAATTTGACTACAGTTAAATTTTTCTTTTGGAAGATATGACATCCAAATGAGTGGACTGCGGGAAGTGTGTCACCTCACGTTCAACAGCCGTTCAATGCGCACTCTGCCGCAGACGGATGCACATAGTTTGATGTAACACTGATAATGATCTTTACCAATGTCTTCAGCGCACTACCTCTAAAGGCGTCAACTTTCACTGCGACCCGTTTCTAACATTGGTCAGCGACAAGCAACATTGGACGAACACTTTCAACTTACATAATGATTCTGCACAAACGGTCTCTAACTCGGACAGCGAGACACCTATCTCATCAGTGGGTCTGCCCGCGTCGGGGTATTCTACACCGATAGGAAAACGAAGCCGGGGGTCCTTCACCATGTTGGACTTAAGACCGTTGCCCAGTGAGAATGGGAATGGGCTGATGGATAAGCCTAAGTCCTATGCCGCAGTCGCGAGCGCAAGCACCTCAACAAAAGCGAGGCCAACCACCGCTGAGAATAAAGCTTCGAAGAATATCTCGCAACCCAAGATAACATCAAATACCAAAAACGCGGAACTAAAACTCGTCCTAAAGAAAGTAGCGTAACTTGAGCAACTGGTCAAAGAAAAGAAATGCCCACAAAAGCCAGCATCAATGGAACGAGGCAAGCCGTCTGCTTGCAACCGCTGCCTGATAATCACACACGTCCCAGAATCCAACAGACTCCAGCTGAAAGGATACTCGACGATCAAGCCTTCCTTAAACGAATGGTCTCCATGTTGTTTGATGAGGGTGAGCAAGGGATAAACTTAATTTCTGCTTTGCGTATTGGCAGAAAACAAGAGGACCCAGCCAAGTTTCGTCCTCTGAAAATCGTCTGTCAGGATGAAGAAGAATGCCAACGCATTCTAAGACGAACACAGCGCCTCAAGGGAGAAACCTTTTACGTTCTGAAAGACCTCACCCCGGAGGACCTTGTCCGAATGAGGCAAGCTGTGTGCGAGCTGCGAAGCTGACGAGCAAGTGGAGAAACAAATCTACACATAGTGGATTTTCGCGTAGTCAGAAAAACTCAGAGAGTTCGATGGAGGCCAATGCTCCTCCTACCAGAATCTCAAACATAAAGAACAGACTACGGGTAATACTCGCGAATGTGCGCAGTCTCAGAAACAAGCTAGATGGGATTGCACTCCTTATATCTGAACAGCAACCGGACCTAATGGCGTTTACGAAACCTGGCTGTCATCTGACATATCTCACTCGGAGGTTCATGTTTCAGGATATCAGCTACTTCGATGCGATCGCTTTGGTTGGAGGTCTGGAGGTGGAGTAATCCTCTACACAAAGAACCACCTCAAGGCCCACATTGTCGAACGCGATTGTGACAAGGATGATATGTCAGAAATGCTCTGGTGTCGAATTCATGACGAATACCAATCGCTAATGGTCGGCATGGTCTACAGAGCTCCCGCAGGACCTGGCTCACCTATTACGCTCCGTGCGAACCCACAGCAGAGGAACAAACTGTTTCCTTATGGGTGACGTCAACGCCACCGACATACTCTGGGAGCTTCTTTAAAGTGATCACCCACCTGACTCCTTTGAAGTGGATCTACTTGATACCGTTCTTGAGTGCCACCTGACACAGCATGTCTTGACACCAACACGGATAGTCCCTGATCAGACACCAAACATTCTCGATCTTGTTCTTAACTCGGCCCCATCTGATGTCTCAGACCTAACGATCCTCCAACCTCTTGGGAAGTGATCACTGTACAGTCTCCTTGTCGTGGACACGCCGCCTCACAATCCACGATCAGGGGACACTGCGTCGAAATTGTTGACGCACTGACCAGCCCCGATTAAGAACGGCTGCAAGTAACCTGGACTGGAGTATTCCGCAATCCTTGGAGCTTGGTGAGGCATGGGAACGCCTACGATTTATGATGATGCGGCGCACTGAACAGTTTGTTCCAAACTGCAAGAGCAGACCACCATCCAAAGGACCCCCATAAAGAAGTAAGATCCCTGATGAAAAAACTACGGAAACTATGGGACCATTTCAAGAGCACAGGACTGACATCAGGCTACTTAGAGTACAAAACTGTCAGAAACCTATGCACCCTGAGAAAACGAGCCAAAAGACTACAATATGAACATGGACTGGCGATGGAATCCAAAACTCTCAAGGTTTTTGCCTACCTGAAGCGAAATGCCAAAACGGGTAGTGGAAACCCCGTCCTATCCTCTTATAAGGAAAGTACCGTCCTCTACGGCGATTATGAAAAAGCAAACCTAGTGGCTGTGCAATATCCCTCGGTCTACCCAGTGGAATCTCCGCTGCTCAACAAATGTTTGCCTGCACACTCCTCCTCTATGGACCAAGTTGAAAGTAACCCCGAAGTACTCACTAAGCTACTCCTCGAACTAGAACCGAACTCCTCAGGCCCGGACGGACTGCATCCCAGCTTCCTCAAAACGATAGCTGAGTACGTCGCCGGCCCTCTTTGCCAAGTATTTCGGCAATCACTCGAAGGCGGCTGCCTACCCACAGGCTGGAAAGAAGGTACCGTCCTGCCCAAAAGGGGGAAAACCAATAAGACACAGCTAATTACCGGCAAATATGCGTGACATCAGTCGGGTTCAAAACCATGGAAGGAATAGTCAAGTGCGCCCTCCAGCTACACTGTGTGAATCTAAACCTCCTCACACCTGCTCAACATGACTTCCGGAGAGCACGCTCATGCATCTCTAACTTACTCATCGCCAGGCAAACATGGGCAGAAGCCATAGATGCCCGAAAACAGGTTGACGTAATATTCATTGATTTCAGTAAAGCCTTTGATAAGGTTCCACACGTACGACTGCTACATAAACTCCAGGGAATTAGAATTACAAAAAATCTCTCCTGGATTGCCGATTTCTCAAGAAGCAGGAGAATACCCGTACAAGTGAATCAAACCCTCCCTGCTCCAGTGCCTATGATTAGTGGCATTCCCCAAGGATTAGTGCTTGGACCAGAGTTCTTCAAACTGTACATTAACGATCTGCTGACTGCACTTCAAACCGACTGCTTGATCTACGCCGATGACCTCAAGCTATGGTCAACAGTATCCATCGTTGAGGATGCGGACAGATTACAGGGTGCTCTAGACCAGTTACACGAATGGTCCATCAAGTGGGACTTGCCAGTAAACCGAGAAAAATGGGCTGTTCTCCCAATGGGTAGCACTGAACCGTACGGTACATACCACATTGGTGGGTTTCTCCTCAAGAATACCACTCACGAGAGATCTCGGGGTTGTCGTGACTTCTGATCTTAGAACGACGCGGAACACGTTGAAGGTGGCCATTGGAAGGAGACTAGTGGGTGCCTTAAGATCATTCGCTCGAATGACGAGATTTTTCGACCTTTGTTGACTTCGTACGTCTGTCCAGCTATCCATTCACTTTCCAAGTTAGAATGCGCTCTGCTGAAAAAGGTTCAGAGACGTGCATCGAAAGCTGTTCTGGGGCTTCGAGATCTCCCGTACCCCATTCGACTCCAGCAGCGAAACCTGTTCTCCCTAGAGCTCCGCCGTCGCCGGGGTGATCTCATCTACACTAGGCGCATCCTCCGAGGGAACATGGAAGTGAGTTACAACAATTCTTCCGGCCCAACATCGACTGTTCCACACGAGGTCACACATGGAAACTAGTTAATCAAAGGAGACATAGGTTTCGCATGGTCACCCTATCCACTAGAGTGGTGAATGATTGGAACACCATACCGGAAGAAACTGCAGACGCGCCATCCGAGGAAAGTTGCAAGCGGCTGCTAGACAAACATATGCTGAGAATGCTGGAATCTTGCCGTTGTCACCGCAATTGCGACGAACTCTCGAGGAACGTCGTAATGCAACGACACGCATCAAACCCAGTATGATACGGAATCGATGAGGCTGATAAGGGACTTCCGTCCTGCTATCTACAACTCAATGAACACTGGCGCGCTACAGCTAGTCACCTCAGGATATCATGCAACTGCGGAAAATTTACAAACAGCACACATAAAAGCAGTCATTTGTTACATATCGGTAACGAAGTACCATATTAATCACTGTTCACCCCACAGATACGAGCAATAGTAAGTAGCAGCAGTGAATGATTTGGTTGCAGTTTGTCAGAATCCCGGCTAGTGAGAACACTGGATTACAATGTAATAGTTTAATGGGGAACACTATCTCCTAACACCATGAAACAAACTTACAAGGAATGTGGAGAGAAGAATTTGACAAAGAACTTCCCTTTTATTATGCACAGCACAATGAAATCAGACCGTCAGTGTGAGGTACGATGCTAGGTGCCTCGACATGATCGGGAGTAGAAGTTTTCACGACACATACGCACTTTGTATTTTAGCTGTTAGTTGCTATCCCAAAAGCCAACTCAAAGCAAAGTAAGAAACACGTATGATTAAGGGCAAGGGATCCACAATTAGATTAAGTAAATGAGCAAAAACACAATAAACATGTAGGCACTTACTTTGCCAGCAGACATAAAATGCGTTTTCGCAGCGGAATTGATTATGTGATCGATACCTTGCATGGCGAAGTTAAAGGTCATAAATTCACATATGGGTTTTAGGCCAGCCAGGGCGGCGCCAACAGCGATGCCAGTGAATCCCATCTGACAGGTGTAAGAAAGGAATCAAACTTACCTCGGTGATGGGCGTGTCAATAACGCGTCCATCACCAAACGTTTTAAAGAGACCCCTGGTGACCTGAAATCGGGGCTAGCAAATAAGACATCAGAAACCTTGTAGGCGCCATCGAATTGAGCAACCTCCTCTCCAAGTATGATGACATCCTTATCGCGTTCCATTTCTTCACGAATGGCATTGTTCAAAGCATCGCGAACCGCCAACTTCGCACCAAGGTGCGATGCCGAAATACTTATTGGTCGTTGGTGGCATTTAATGGCGAAATGCTATTTAGTACGACAGTAAACAATTAGCAACTACCTTAGCAACAGGAACAAATGAGCGAACAGCATACATAAGTAGTCAGTTACGTGAGCAATCGGCTGAGCGACGTTCTAACCTTAAGCCGGGTTGACTGGAGCGTCGGATCCGCTAGTCGCGATCAATGATCTTTTGGCAGTGTGATTGTGGTACACAAGGTTCAAGTTCAAGTTCAAGGTTGTATGTTGATAGAAAAGGTTGGGCCTTTCAACGCATGTGTGTGTTTATTAGTAAGCTACCGTAGTTGTTAATATGCTAAGAGGAGGATTAGAAATCAATAAAGTGAACGGTTTAAAAGAGTTACGGTTCAAGTTCAAGTTCAAGTGGGACTGGAAAGATAGGATGAATCCCGTAAGTGTTCCTTCTTGAGCGGGTCGTCGATCCAGGAGTTGATAGTGGTGCTCCGGCTTTTTGATGGGTCTAAAAGGAAAACACCCGAAAAGCACCCTGGTCCACCAATTTAATGCCCACGTTCCTTACATTAGCTGTCCCAGCTATGTCAGGTACGTGAAGTAAGTAAGAGAGGAAGAAAAAGCGAAGGTAAGAGAGTAGGGGAAATCAGTTAAAAGAAGTGAATAGTACCAATGGCGAGGAAAAGTAAAAAATAGAATCGAATTATGAAGATGGGACTTAGTCATAAAAACGGAAAGGTTTCGTGTTGCCACCCAAGAGCGTCTAATTGACGCTCAAACCCCTTCACCGTAGATGCCTTGACAACATGTTCTAGAAGCAGGTTCCAGCGCTCGATGGCTCGACGTGCTAACCGTGTCTCCGCTCTAATTCGGTCGGACCGCGGTTTGTCCAGCTTCATACAATGCCCGCGAAGACCATACAATCTAGCAGGACCAAGTAGCATGGACAAATCAGGGTCAACCTTCCCAGTCAAAGTACGGTAGGTTAGGATTAGGTCCCCTATAAACCTTCGATAGTGCATTGAATGCATCCCCAAACTAAGTGGGAGTTCGGGGTACGTTTGCCCTCGTAATCCCTTGACTAACCTAGTACCGACACACAACACCCTTTCTAGTGCCATTTTGTCCCGGACAAGGCATGGTGGACAGGCCTGGACGCAATATTCTAGGTGGGGTCGTACAAGCGCTGAGAAAAGCTTCACAAACACATCAACGGTTAGGGTCTCAAAAGAACGACGGATAAACCACAACATCCGAAACCCTTTACTAGCCGCCTTCTTCCAGTTGTCGCCGGAGTGTAGTGTGGAACATTGGACGACACCTAGATCAACCTGATGAGTCACGTGAGGAAGTTCATTCCCATCGAACACATAACTTGTGGAGGAAGCAGACGCTCCGACAGGCAGCACTGAACAATTTGCCCGGTTTATGGGCAGCAGCCACAAGACAGACCATTCCCAGAATCTATCCAGAGCCCGTTGAAGCGTCACAGGACCTCCAGCGATATCAACAATATTCCAGAGCTTGAGGTCATCAGCAAATAAGAGCGATGATACCCCAAGCTCCTCCGGCAAGTCATTCACGTAGACAGAAAAAAGCAGCGGACCTAGAACAGAGCCTTGCGGAACGCCCCTAGGTACAGCTTGTCGAAACGAAAGATAGCTTCCCACACGAATACACTGTTCCCGTCCATCCAGAAAAGCTGACTCCCGCTGGAGAGCGCGACCAGATATTCCATACGACCTCAACTTCAGTGAGATTCGCGAATGGGGGACAGTGACAAAGGCCTTGGCGAAGTGAGTGAACACCACACCCACCGCATGTCCACTGTCTACGGCTTCAGCCCAGCTCTTACGAGCTACCAGCAAGTTCGTCTGACACGAAAATCCTTTGCGAAAACCATGTTGCTCTACGCAAAACAGGTTAAACTTATTTAAATGGTTCTCCACTGTAGCTCATACTAATTTTTCAAGTAACTTAACGACCACGCTAGTCAAGCTGACAGGCCTGTAATTAACTGGTAGGTCTTTGTCACCGCACTTTAAAATCTGGCAGACAACGGCCTCCTTCCATTCGGTAGGCAAGATACAGCTGTTAAGTGACTTTTAAAACACACAAGTCAGAGGTCCACTGAGTTCCACTGTCAATTCATGCAACAATTTTGGATGAACGGAATCTGGCCCGGAAGCTTTAGTTGGGTTTACCTATCTTAGCAACCGGAAAACTTGGGACTCAGTTACAGGAATTTCATCCAGACAACAGTCCTCAGAGACTCTTGAAGTTAACTCTGCATGGCGTATTTGTTTCGCGGACAAAGACGCTTGAGTACTGCTTACCAAGCACGCATGCCTTGTCATAGTCGCTATAGGCATGGGTCCCATCCCCTCGAAGCAATGGTGGTATGGTCGAGTTTGCATCACAGCGTCGTTTAACGTAAGCGAAGAATTTCTTGGGATTTTTCGAGACAGTGTTAGCTAAGCCCTTTTCATACTGAAGCCGGGCCAACCTAAGATGTAGCTTGCACTCATTTCGAACCAACTGATACTTGTCATACGTGCTGTTCGACCAAGTTGTTCGGTATGCTCGCCAGCATCTAGACCGCTTCTTTAGCAGGCCCTTCCCCGCGGAATCTATCCACGGAGGCTGCGCTCTCGATTCCCTTCTTTTTACCAGTGGGATGTGAGGTGCAGAAATGTCAACGAGATGAGCCTTAAGTTTTTCCCAGGCTATGTGAACAGTATCGGTCTCAGATAGCACACAATGCGATGACCTAGCTTTATCCCGCATCGCTTGGAAGCCCGCGGCCCAAATGTTAAATAAATAAATAAATAAATCTTTTATTCTCAACAAGATGAGGCACGCCTTTACAGACGTGATCATTTTGACGTGACGATGCATTAACAAGAATGTGCAAAACTCCGATATGTTTGCCATAGCAGTTTGTGTTTGTGTAGGGGGTATGTATGTATGTCATTGTGTGTGTGTTTATGTAGCTGTGTATTTTGTGTTTGTAGTTGTGCTGTTCCAATCTTCAGGGTTTGATATTGTCATCAATATGCGAGTAGGAGATTGGTGTCCGTGGGTTGGAGAGAATTATCCGGATATCCAGGGGGCAGTGACTTTAT